GACCTAACACAGGATTAATGGCCTTTCAGAATTATGCATAATAGAGATTAGTGTTGGCATGGCAACTAAAATCTAGAAAGTCTACCTTCTGATCTGAATAAACTGCCAAACTAAATGTGACTTATATTTTGCTGTAAACAGCTGCATCCGGTGTTGTTTTATATCATTATGTTGCCAGTTGATAATTTTCATATATATTGTAGTGTAACCTAACCCCCCCCCCCCCACGTGTTTGCTTGTGTTAAAACCAGATAGATATCTTGTAGCCATATTTATTTCATTAGCTCTACACTGTATCAGTTTCTAGGTTGGAAAGGCTAGTTGTATTGGAATGTATTATATTTCGATTTGTTTATATTTACAAATCAACAAATTTGGTTCTTATCCCTACTCCAATAAAAATGTGTATACTCAGTAAAATTGTAATTTAACCTATCTATATTATCTATTTAAAAATATACCATTGTTATTGAATATAAATACACAATGCAGCCATAGTTATTATTAAAATTTGCTGATTAGCTTAATAATATCACTTGTATTACAAACGGGGAAAAAAGGTTGTTATTGCTTATAAAAATAATATCACTTTAATATATAAAGCTGTATTAATGTTCAATAACTAGTACACTATTTTGTCATGGTTTTTCTAAAAAAAATATGGATTTGGTAACATAGGTTTTAATTTCAATGTTTTTTTAACTGGTCTGAGGTGGCATGTACAAACTAGTGGGATGACTGGGTTGCAACCATTGTTATTTTCAATGAGGGGACACTCTGTAATCAGGTCAATGTCTTGAATTATCAGCATGTAAGTTATGCATTGAGTCATTATTGCAAGTATTAGCGTGTCAGTCATTTTATATTCAAAACAATATTGGATCTGGTGTGGTCTTTTAGTCACTTTTAATATATATTTTTTTCTGTGAAATAATACGTTTTAAACATTTAGAGTTAAAAAAAAAATAAAGGTATCTGAATTCTAAAAATACATGAAAAGACAATCATTTATGGGAAAGAATGATCATTATGGTGTTCCAGTCAATGCTGGCCCTCCTACTGACTTGGACTTTATTAGTGTAGTGGCTGTTAAGTATGGTTTGTATACCCCCACATATATTATACCAGTGGTGTTTAACAGCTTATGACTAGGAAGTATACCGTTTAGGTGTCCCTAGTTTTGTTATAAATTATGCTATGTGCCAATTCATAAAGTTCAATATTATGCCTAAACTTCCCTATAGACTGCAGGTAACAATTGTATTGTTTCAATCCATATTTATTAATAAACTGTCATTATTTCATCTAATATCCGGTTTATCCACAAAACCAAAATGTACAATTCAAAGTTCTTATTATTTGATTACTTTTGTGATAAAATAATAACTGGAAAATGTAAATGGATTTATTATAAAGTGAATGTTTTTGGAAACATAAGCATACACATTAATATCTTATGACATAGTTTGCTTCTCATATGTGGCTAAATTTCCCACTAATTTGCCACTTGTTGATGCAGTGGTTTATGACACAAAAGTGTCAAAACTAAATTCACAAAATTCAGGAGTTTGTATTTAAATGCATATGGACTATGTACTAATAATTCAGTTTGGTTTTATATTTTATTAACCTTGTTAATCTCTTGGCCCTGTTTATTATTTTTATATTTCATCTTTCTCTTTTATCTGAAAGACTGTCCAGTTTATTATGCAGATTTGTAAATGGATTTTATTAATCCTTTCTGCATAGTAACAGCCTGTTCTAGCTGTGATTGTTCACATGTAACACAAGCATGTCACAATAAAGGCATTCTTTCAGTCCATTTATTTGGCTGTCTCTCAACACAGTTATTGGCAAAGTGTTGTTAAACTCTTGAGTTCTACATGAATTGTAAATGGCCATTTAGTGAGTTACATGCTTTATGCAAGTTATTAGCTCCATTTGTTGCTTGTTTCATTTTTGTAATACATGTAAAGCTCAGTAAACAGCACATGGTGATCTGTCACATCATATAATTCTATCCAAATGGAAATAAATTTTTGTTGGTAAAAATAACAATAGTTCATTTTCAAGCAATCGAGATGTTGTTTTACCACATGTATGTATTTGATAAAATGAAAGCTATTTTGACACAGTATTACATGTATGAAACAAAGCTTATCCCCATTTCATATTTATCTGGTAGTTGACACCAGGTGGATGGTCTTTCAGTGTTTCTATTGTAGTTTACTTATTTGTTCATGTATGATGCATGATTGGTTTGAACCCCACTCATTTTACTCGTTACTATTATACAAAGCCAAACATTATGTACTGTTGATAATTCCAAATCATGTATGTGATTAGTATGACCTGATTATTTGATACCTGCCTTGTCACTATTTGATATTGCCCTACACCTGACTTGTCACTATTTGATATTGCCCTACACCTGACTTGTCACTATTTGATATTGCCCTACACTTGCCTTGTCACTATTTGATATTGCCCCACACTTGCCTTATCACTATTTGATATTGCCCTATACTTGCCTTGTTACTATTTGATATTGCCCTACACTTGCCTTGTCACTATTTGATATTGCCCTACACTTGCCTTGTTACTATTTGATATTGCCCTACACTTGCCTTGTCACTATTTGATATTGCCCTACACTTGCCTTGTCACTATTTGATATTGCCCTACACTTGCCTTGTCACTATTTGATATTGCCCTACACTTGCCTTGTCACTATTTGATATTGCCCTACACTTGCCTTGTCACTATTTGATATTGCCCTACACTTGCCTTGTCACTATTTGATATTGCCCTACACTTGCCTTGTCACTATTTGATATTGCCCTACACTTGCCTTGTCACTATTTGATATTGCCCTACACTTGCCTTGTCACTATTTGATATTGCCCTACACTTGCCTTGTCACTATTTGATATTGCCCTACACTTGCCTTGTCACTATTTGATATTGCCCTACACTTGCCTTGTCACTATTTGATATTGCCCTACACTTGCCTTGTCACTATTTGATATTGCCCTACACTTGCCTTGTCACTATTTGATATTGCCCTACACTTGCCTTGTCACTATTTGATATTGCCCTACACTTGCCTTGTCACTATTTGATATTGCCCTACA